TTCTTCCTGTTTATTTCCACTCGATGCAAGAAAAAAAAATTACAAAATAATTGAAATTGAGAAAAAAGAAAACTTGATTAGATAAAAAATAATTCTTAGTTTTCTGTTTTTAATTTTTTTCACAAAAAGAAAAAAGCTACTTTGGTTTTCGTCAAAAAATTTTTCTTTTGTCAATCTAATGCAAACTTCTTAATCCTACCCTTTATCAAAATTTTCTTTTTCTTATTTTATTTAGAATAGTAGTTAACTTTCAGTAAAAATTGAAACCAAAATGAAACGAAATTAATCAAGAAAGGAAAAAAATTCTTAAAAGAAAGAGAAAATAATTATTAGTAATGATATTTGATCAATTTAGATGCTTAATTAAATGGCACGTGTCTTTAATTGTAAAACTTGATTAGATTGAATTGAATGACTTATAATATATAGATTTAAAGGATTGCATTTAATTGGGTTATGATTACTATTCACTGATATTTTTATTTTTATTATAAATTACATGATTTTAATTATTTATGAATTTAATGAACTTAGTCATTGATGAATTTATAATATCCATAAACTTATTTAATTAAGGATGAATGTACTTTGTATTTAGTAACATTTACATTTAATATTTTGAGTGTAAGTTTATATATATTATTGAATAGTATAAATAACCATGAATCAAACTCAAATTACATGAATCTAATTATTCATGAATTTAATCATTTATAAATATATGATATTCATGAATTTAATTAATTGTGGATGAATATACTTAATGATTAGTGTTATTTGAGTTTAACATATTTATTAAATATTATAAATACATATGAATCAAATCCAAATAATTATATTTTAGTTTGAGTTTTTATATTTCAATATGTTTAAAAGTATAAAGTATTTGTTTGTATATTTAGAAATTAAGTTTTATTTTTTAGTTTATGCATCAATATGATTCCATTTGAATGAATTCATTGATTTGTTCACTTGAGGTATTATTTTATAAATATTTATTATTTATTTGTATTTAATAAAATTGTGACCAATGTGAAGTCTGGTAATTTTCTAATATAAATTATACCAAAAAATGCAAATATATAATTTAAAATTTTAATAAAATTTTTTTATAAATTTAATAAAAATAAATAAAATTTTTTTTATATTTAATGTATTATGAATTATAATATAATAATTTTTAGACGTAATTAATATAATAATTTGTTTTATATTTTATATGTAATTAATATAGAATAGAATAGAATAGACAAACAAGTATATATAAGAATTGCACGGTCTTTACCATGCAGGTTCTAGCTTCTGAAACCCAAGTATGTTCTTTAAAATGTTTTTAGTTTTTACTATAACCTAATAGCATATACTACTTTATTTCCACAAAAAAAAAAAAAAAAGATACACTAGTTCAAGCTTTGCTGAGCTTCAAAATGCCACATTTAAGCCTAGCCTAAAAAATTCATCAAGCGTATACTTGGTCCAAACTTGACCAAATTTTATAAAATAGATACCCAAAACCTTGACGGGCCATACCACATCGGTCCACATCTCTACTCACGAGAATGAATGAGGAATTTTTGTCTACTCACAGTAGTCAATCCGGATAAAAAATTTCACTGTGAAATCATAATCATAGATCTCCATGTTCATCATCATTTTTTCATATGCTTTTCCAGACAAAAACCTTTTATTTTTTCATGTACTCCTTGTTTGTCAATCAGGCGTTTACTCCACCCATTGGATAATGGGCAGGTAAACGTACATAAAACTTGCAGGCCCATATCGTAGGACATTTCGAGCTCTTCAATGATTGCAGTCGACGGCATCAACTTCCCATAGTTGCCAACTTGCCGACAATCCTATCGGCAAACAACTTTAACTGATTTAAGCCATGTGGAAGAACAGAAATCTACTAGAGTTGCCGGAATCCTTCCTACCTTTGTTCTTTTTTAAGCAAAAGCAAATACCATATTCGACTATAAGACTATAAATTTGAATCCTATAGTTTGGTGATCTATTTCTGATACCATGTTAGGTTTTCTGTATCATGAAAAGATGCACCACCATCCGATCATCAAAGCCCATAAATTAACACAAGAGTAGGCAGTTTAGCCTTTCAACTTCCAGTATCATTAGGTCTTTCAATGCATTTTTACATAGGAGGGGATTCAAATGTAGGTCTTGAATGCTGCACCTTAAAGCTTATAATTGCATCGTATGACACAGACATGACATTATAAATTTTCTTAGAACATTTACTAAAGAGTTAAAACAGCTTAAATTTTTTAGTTGATGCTTTGTCATCCTTTTTTTCCATTTAATTGGAGGCAATAGGGTAGTTCATGATACGAAATTTTGCCAAGTTTGTTTGAGTGAAATGAAAGACATGTCCCCTGCTCCATACAAATGACACCATGTGTTTTTGTACCCAATACGGGTAGACATGAATCCAATGTCTAAAGACTGGTCAACTATAAGTCAAATAATTTTGACCAAGGCTTCTGATTTTTCAGACATAGGTCCCCTTCCATGGAAGTCGGATGTTGCTTTACAACAGAACAAAGATTTTTTTAAGACCAACAGCAATTAATCTTGTTATAACTAATATCAAATTTCACATAATCAAAAAGTATTGAATTTGAGAAAATATGTTCGAACCCAACTTTTTCTTTTTTTGAAATATATGCGCAAGGTGAAAATCTTCAATGTATTGAATTATTTATAGTCCATGTGTAGCCCAGATTTATACAATCTCAAGGAGTTGATGAAAGAATTTTTGCTTACAAAATATTGTACGTAGGAGTTTTAAGTCATGGGATGTACTGAGAAAAATATCCAAAAGAAAGCGAAAGGAACAGTGGTTTATCTTCACTACGTACGTCAAAAAGAACTGAAGCATGACTACCATAAGTGGCAGACTCTTGAGGAAAGAATATTTGAAAAAAATGCTTTATTTTTCTCAAAAAAAAAAAAAAAACTTGGGTATTAAGAGTTGCACAGGGCAACTTTAAATCGCCATTGATTGGCTTTTGTTGATGGAGGGGAGGCTGGGGGTGGATCTCACTCATCCATGAAAACAAGAGAAAAAAGAAATGAGAGGGAGAAATGATATCATCTTGGTGTAAAATAAAGTAGATGAAATCCAGCTCATTGTTCTCAAAGAGTGATACGACCTCACGTGGTGACAAGTGCCAGTTCACGGATTTGTACAGTTTTCATAAAACTAGAGTGTCTTATAGCTGTCTCCTCGTCCCTACGCTGGCAACAAGCTAAGATAAACTGACCCTTTCTCTCCCTGTGCGTGCGCTTCTGTTCTCATCACCAAAAAACTAAAAAAAGGGTTTGTTTAAAGAAAAGCTTGATTGTCTTTCAAACCAGGACTAGCTTTACAACAAGGGATATGACAAAAATGCATATATCCAATTGGAAATGTGGAAGAATCCATCAAAAGCCGAAACCCCAAGAGAAAGGCGAGACATGCATTGTGCTTCTCGCGGTGGGGTTTGTGGACAATATAATGGTCATCCATTAACAATAAAAATAATGCTTAATCCCCAATCTTTTTGCTTGACATCAACTTTGTTTAATGTGATTGACCAAAGGAGCATGATTATGATGAGATGGTTAGGAAATTCTATATGGGTTTTTGAGATTATATTTTCAACGCAGCCGTCCCATGACCCTCTCGTTTGCACATGATGCTTTTTTTTTTTTTTATCAGCGCTCACTGATTAATTATGTGATCCTAACTGTCATATTCTTTTCTTTTGTTGTTTGGAAGTCGGCTTTGTTACGTAACAGCTTAGGATTAGAGGAGGTTAAGAACATGGGTTCATGTGGGAATATGCAAGGATCTATTTGCGTATTTCTATGTATTTACCGACTGAAATATTTAAAATTATGCATAGAGCATTTGACTCGATTATTACTGTTTAAGATTACAAATTTTCAATTTCAATATAAAAATTTCGTAAAATGAAGAAATTCATAATTCCTAAATCTCATCAAACTCATTATCTTATCTTATTTTTATCATTGTGTATACTTATATATTGGAGAGAAAATCATGTTTTTTTTTTGTGAAATTAGATTTCGATATGTCAAAGCATATATAGTCTTAGTGCTTGAACATGAACTTGGAAGCTTAATCTTTTTAATGGGGGAAGCGGATCTATTGGACTATAACATTATTAGAGAGTCAAAGGCCCTTTCAATGATGATTATTTGAGTACTAAATGCTCTGCCAATGTGTATAAGTCTGGTTCTTTTATATTCTCTAAAGGATGTAGGGGCCAGAAATCACTTGTTTTCTTGCTAGTTTTTTTTTTTTTTCAAATAATTTCCCATCCAAAAGCAATCACCAATTTAATTTGTTCTAAGTTTGGTCAAGACACACCAATCACATTAAATCATTTATTACTGTAAATCCCAATTAATTAGTATTAATAATATCTGCCAGATGATTTTGATGCAAACCAAAATATTAAGTTGCATATCAATAAATAAGAAACAACTAATACTACATGTCAGGCATAAATAAACATTAAGAAGCTAAAAAAATCAATTTTGAATCCAAAATTTAATTTGATTGGATTTATCTAACAAGTTTAAAATTAAATTTCAATTTTCAACACTTATAATTTTATTTAAGCTACAAACTATTTGTAAAAAAAAAAAAATCATCATTTTTTTAGGTAAAGACTCAAAAGACAACACAGAAAAAAACAAAAAAAAAACAACTAAGGAGTTAAGGACTATTGGTTGAGGGGTTGGGAGAGTATATTAATGCAGAGACAGGCAAGACAGACTCAAGTGCTTTCAGCCTCGCAGCTGTCATTCGATGTTGTTCCAAACCCAACCCCTTCCCTTCCCCTCTCACAATATCTAAATAGACAGCAAATTAGCAATTGCAGCTGTCGGGCTCTCTCCCTCTCTCTGTCTGTCTTTTAACTGCTATTTTTTTTTCCCTTTCTGGCTTTCTCATTTTATTAACCAACCCATCAAATATTAACAACTGGCAACAACGTCTATAACATCATAAACTAGGCTTCATCTCATTGTCTGTTCCTCTTCAATGATTCTTTTGTGGTAAAAAAGGGGCCTGGGAAATGAATGTAGAGACGAGCATGGTAGAGCAACAAGCAAGGGGAGTGAGATGGAATTGCAGAAGATTCATCTTACTCCAGTCTTGTCAACTGTAAATGTGATCCACCCCAAAAAGGGTTTCATGCAAAAGGAAAGTTACCCATTTTCTGTTTTGTTTGTTTAGATGCCATGGCTTATCCACATTACCGATCACCTTTTGGTGACACAACGTTTACAAAAGTGTTTGTGGGGGGACTAGCTTGGGAGACACCAACAGAGGAAATGCGTAGATACTTTGAGCAGTTTGGAGAGATTCTTGAAGCTGTTATCATCTGTGATAAAAACACAGGCAAATCTAAAGGATATGGCTTTGTAAGTTTTATCTAATTTCTTCTCATATATGTCAGTTCTTACTTTGTTAATGGCCTTAAGTTTCTTGTGCATTAAGGTGTTTGAATAAACTCACTACATTTCTGTAGGTTACTTTCCGTGATCCTGAATCAGCCAGGAGGGCTTGTGCTGATCCAAATCCTGTAATTGATGGAAGAAGAGCAAATTGTAACATTGCATCACTTGGAAGGCCTAGGCCTTCACCACCACGAGGTTGTCCCCATACTCTTTTATATGAGCTGCACTTTCCCCATTCAATTATTGAAAGTGAAAACAAGATGACAATAATGAATCAGATATGATGGATTTTAATGCAGGAAGAAATCAAGGTAGCAGTCCTTATCAGGGAGTTGCACAGCAAGGTGCACCATCTTATAGTGGAGTTGCAGCACCAGTGCCTCCGCCTCCGCCACCGCCACCACTACCTCCTGTCATTTATCCACCTTATGGGTGAGTACCCCCTATTGTTTTCACTCTAGCTATTGGTTGTCCATGCTCTAGTTAAGGGAAGTGGTCCATGCCTTAAAAAATTTCTTTTGGACATCTTACATATGTTTAATAGTTATGTGTTTCTGCAATATAGTTGGTATATCGGATTGTACATAGTAAATCAATAATGCATTTGACTAGAAATTTGTCATTACTATGATAAACAAAAGGAAAAAGAATATGGGAGCCTTATAATATCAATGCAGTCAATTATTTAACGTGGCATGCACTGGCATAAAGCTTGAGTCTTGGAAAAGGCTAGAGGCCTTGCTGTGGCTGAGAAAACAAATGAAAAAGGTTAACCACGGGGCAGATTCCTTGATTTTTTTTTATACTAAGAAACATTGAACAGCTATATTAAGTCATTTGTAATCCCTTATTATGAATGATCATTTTTCCACGCATTAACCAATTTAATAATCTAGTTTAATTCTTATTCTATATGAAAATTTAGTCAGTTAATCAAATTGGGAAATCCAGTAAGATTAGCAGAAAGTAAATATGGCTAGGCTTTGTAGTGCCCAAATATGTACATCAAAGTGGTCCCAAATGATGTAGATATATGACTTTCTATTTGGTTATGATTCCAGGCAGCTCAGAATGAAAGAAAAAGTTCATCAAGAACAAGAATAAGGTTGTAATAATTAAGTTTCTGATAAATGCCTTCATCTGCCGATGGAATTTCAAGTGATGATCAAGCTCATTTACAGTTAACATTTTCTAGATGTGTACGATGCATTTAATTGAAGTTCCAATACAAGAATAGACCAGTTCCTCTTACTTGGCTTCAACTTTTATCAGTGAGATCACTTCTGGGGTTCTCTGAACTTTTAGTTTGGGTTTTGCTAGTAGATGTTATGCTTAAAAGCGAAGGGCAAAAAGCAACAAATACAAATATAAAATGGCTAAAGCATGGAAATCAAGTGTGCATATAAATATAGACATTTGTTATAATGATGAAATCCAACTATCCTTGCCTCTGTACTTTCTTTTACAATTATATAATCATATTTTTAATATGAGTATAGCTTGAGCTACCTTTTCACTTACATCTATGATCCATGATTCACGCATACCCATCTTTTCCTATGTTTAAATATTCTTAGCTGCATTTGATTTGAGGGGGAAAATCAATAGATTTTACCCTCTGTCACCTAATCTGCGCAAAACTAAGAAATAAGCAAGAAACTTGGGCACAACCGTAGGGACAACAACTGGAGAACATATATATATATATATATATATATATCAGTAGAAGACCAGATATTAGTATGTAAATGATGTCCATGACTGGAAATTTAGAGTTGTATATGTTGATCTGATACCTTGCAATTACCTCAAACATATATATACATATATATATGTATATATTTCTATATATATATGTACACATAAAAATTGTCCTTGGATTTACCTGCAATTAATTTTCTGTACCTACCTAAGCCAATGTCGTCATTAGTACTAACAATTGCGATCATGGTAGGACCTTAAGGCCGCGTTGCAATAAGTCCCTTGTATATATGGTGGTTACCATTAATTCCTTATTATATAAGGATGCTGCATTTTGCAATTACTTCTATGGGAAAGATTTTTTTTTTTTTTTTTAACCTTTCAGTTTCAACTATCAAGTAGTTGCTCCTATTTCTACTAAACTTTTTGACGAATTCTACTTTACAGGTACCCAACTTACAGTCCTGAATACGGGTATCACCAAGTAAGTAATTAAACCTCTTTCTCTGTTAATGAAGAATAATAGTATTTATAAGTTGTATTTGTTCAATGTTGAGCAGATAGTTCAGCTAACAATGGTTGGTAAATAATGTTACTGAATGGAAATGCAGGCTCTCTATAATCCACAAATTCAGCAGCCACAATACTATCAACTGTATGGATCATCATCTACAACAATGGGATCTCCATATTATTATGGCTATTCTTTGCAAGCTCCCAGGGCAACATTTTCCCCACCCCAGGCTCAACGTATCCCCGGACCGTCCTATTTTTACTATCCTTCTCAGATGGAGGGCTCTTTCTCCACCTATCCTGCCCCACCCTTTCATCTAACTAGGCATCCCTTTCCCTCTTCCACAGGTATATAATTCTTATACTTCTCTATTCCTTTCACTTTTTTACTACTTACCATCATATCATATCCCACCATAAATTAGGCTTCATATATAGACATTCTGACACAGATAATATATAGAATTAGGGTTTAGTGTACGTTGCGCCAAATGGGGGGCCTCGTTGGCAACCTCAAACATGTGAATGACCTGTCTGGTGATTGCCATGACCCAAATGATGGGTCAATAGAAAGTCATGACAGAGGAGTATAGTGTGTAAACTAATAGTGATTGCTTGTGGTTTCAGTATCAGGATAATGGTTGATTCTGATCATGAAGTCAAGTGGTCATATATGAAAAGGCCCACTAGCCATGTTATGCACTGCCACTGTTTTAACCAATTCGTTTATTCCTATATGAATATCGATTGGTTTAATCACATTTTAAATAGCAAAGTTCATACCCACAATCATTTTGACAAATCAAACCCTTTTTGTATTTCTATTTAGAATGGTCGGGAAAATACTCTCTTTGAAATATAACAGCTAAATTACGACTATATAATTAAGTAATTTGTGGTAGAAACATTGCCAAAAAAATTGCCTGGAAATCCCCATTAAGTTTAACAGTACTAACCCAAATTATCATCATTTTATATGCCAAGACATTGTCTTTGTTGCTAGCTGTATCAGTGTTCAGTAAAAGAGTAACTCTCTAAAGTAATTTTCATGGCTATTGGATTTCCAAATTTACAACGCCCTAAGTCCAATGTGATGTATAAGGACTTAACATGGAAGCTAGGCAGGCTGATGGGCCCTGTTTCTCAATGAAACATCACTTGCGGGGCGTTGTTTCTGTAACACTGGAAATATATATACATTTTAAAATTAGATTCTATCTCTACATTAGATTGTTGTTTTCATATTTATATGCTCATCATAAATTTTCTTTACTGATTTTGGTCTATCAGATTCACAGACTCCACAGCAAACCTCCACAGAAACAGAGGCAGGGGCCATCACATCTGAAAGTCCAAAAACCTAAAGGGAAGAGCTCATCCCTGCCAAAATGTTCAAATTGTACAATCTTGATAATTTATGTTCTTCTTATCACCCTATATCACTCTTATATTCTCAACAATTTAGCGATAGGTGGCTGCTGCATCAAGTTACTGCTATTGCCTATGGCAGGAAATGGAGGACTAATCAACCACCTTATGCAGATTCTTTTTTCCTCTTTAATTCTCAAGGAAAAAAAAACATTCTTCTATTTTTTCACCTAAAAGTTTTCATTCGTTAAGACTTTAACATCCTTTACAGAATTGTATGAACTGTGAACAAAAGGAGGGAAGCGCATTCCCTCAATAAAAAAAATTTGATTAGCAATTTAGCAATCAACATCATTTTGATTTTTTTTTTTTTGTCTGTGGGGTTATAATCAAAAACAAATTTGCATCATATCCAATGACATTAATTATGATACTAACTTGGAGAAACTCTAGACATACGTTTAATTTCAAGGGTATGCTGAAACCAGACCTGACAGAACTGAAACAAACTCAGTTTGGTTCCCTCTGAAATCAAAACTGGTAATTATGTTTAGTTAGTAATACACTTTCATGATTCGAAAATGATTTTTGGCCAAACAAAGAGTGAGTTTTGAAGGGAATTGTACATGAAAACTGTGGGCTCAGTTATGGAGAGAAATACATGGTGTCAATGCCCCAGAAATATAAGGAGGAGATTTGGTTTATACTTCAAAGACTCTCCTTTGCATGATAGCATCGTTCAACAAATATGTGCCCCTCTATCCTATCACCAAATGGGGAAAAATGAAAGTGTCCTTTATGCAGCAATTATCTAGTAAATGTAGTTTTTTTAAGTCTACGATGCATTTCTTTTCCACTTTTATCTATACTTGAATTGTTTAGGGAAATGAAATACCCCACGAGATGGGAAACGAAGTAGTACTAGACATTAGTGTTTGTCACCTTTGCCACAGCAGCCAAATTCAGGGCATTAGTGCTTTGAATTATAAGGGATGGGAAAAGAAAATCGAGTCCCCATCCATTATTTCAGTAAACAGTAATTAAGCCAATTTTGTTATAAATTGTTGAAAGATTGAAATCACTAGGTCGAATAGAACAATTAGATTGGAGATCAGATGTCAAAGGAAAGGGCTGAAATGACGCATAACTAAGATGCAAAGGTTTTCTCTATTGTACTGGAAACTTCTCTCTTTGATTACGCTCGTGGCCTCCCCTCTTCAATTTGTGCGATCCTCTTTTACGTATGTGGGCACAGATGGAATTCGGCACTGGATGGATCAAGCCGCTCGTGCACGTGTGGATGGTCAAGTGTTAAGCCTGTCTATCAACTGGGCCTTGAATTTTTAAAGTTGGAGCAATAAATTTTACAAATTGGGTTTTGGGCAAATACTAAGTTGAGTTAAAAAATAGGTTGAATGGGTGTTGAGGAAGCCTACAAGGTTCTAGGTTCATTTCCAAGCTTTGCATCAATGCATGGTAACTTGATTCTCATTTTTGTAGTTTTAGTACGTCAATAAAAATAAGGTATAAAAAGAAAAATCTTATTCCATTTTGTATACATCTGTATAAAGCACAACCGATTTCAGAAAACGCTGGAAAAAACAGTAGAACAAGGATTTGACAGATAATAAAGTGATTTAAGTTAACAAGTATTTTCAAGGTTGAAATCAAAGGGCTGTATAAAATGTGCCAAGAATTTTGCATTGTCTTAATCTAGTGAAGAGAGCAAAACTTGGTTGATCAATTGGTCCAGATTTTTGCAAGATGACCCATTGGGAGTGGTGGTGGCCTCTTCCGCCATCCTCTTCCACTCTAGAGCTTTCTGCTTCATCGCTTTGCCTTTTTCTCCTTCCATTAACTCTCTAACAAGGCCTTCAACTTCATCCCTCTTAACATCACTGTTAATTTCCACGCCGATTCCCCATTTAGTGCAAGAGAACCGACAATTGGTTTGTTGCTCGGCAAAAAATGGCCAACATATCATTGGCACACCGCTGGATATACTTTCAATTGTAGAATTCCATCCATTGTGCGTTAAGAATCCTCCAACAGAAGGGTGGCTCAGGACTTGTTCTTGCGGGCACCAACTTGCCAGCAAACCCCTTTCTTTGGTCTCTGTCACAAATTCTGGAGGTAGAATTGCTGAGTCGCCACCGACTAAATCAGGCCTGATAACCCACAAAAATGTTTGGTTGCTATTAGCCAACCCCCAAGCAAATTCATTTAGCTGATCAGGTGTCATGACAGTGATGCTTCCAAAATTCACGTAAACAACAGAGTTGGGCTCTTTTGAGTCTAGCCATGGAAGACACTGCGGTTCTTCCTTCCATAGATTTGACCCAAGTTGTTTCAAATCGTTGTCATGGACCTCACGATGCAATGGAAGATGCAGGGGACCGACGGAGTAAATAGGAGGTAGCATTGAGGAGAGTGCACGTAAAACTTCATGCTCCAAGTCATCAAATGTATTCAAGATTATTGCAGAGGCCTTTCGAGCTCTTTCGGTTTCTCTGAAAATGAAATCTAGCATGACGAAATCCGGGTCGGTTGTCCTGAGAAAGGAAGGCAAATCCTTCAAGCGAATACCTTCCATGGCAGGTATCCAATCTATAACAGTATCCAAGTACCCGTTTGTTAAATCACTTTCATCTGCAAATTAAAGAAACAATAACATTAGCGTTATTTCAGTTGTCCTGAAAGGAAAAAAAGAAAAACTACCAATAACTAAAACGAATCTTTAGAAAAGTTTGTCTTGAATTATTTACCTTTGAGAGGAATATAGCCCTTTTCCATCAGCTGACGATAGTAGCAATAGCCCAAGAAGCCACATGCACTTGTAGTCCAGAAGAGAACTTCAGGGATGCCAAGTTCTTCAGCTGCATCAAGAGTGAAGCTCATGACTCCATCCGAAACGATGCAAGAGACAGGAGGAACGTCGACTGAGGAGGAGTCGTTGAGTTTATGTATAAGTTTCTTAAAGTGAGGTAAGCAGGTCCTGGAGGTGGACTCGCACAGAGATGGAATGTCTTGGGTAGCATCAGCATCAGTTGGAGGGAGGCCATCAGGAATGGTTTCGAAACGAAAAGAAGGGAGGCCATTGAGAGCATCAGGCCCCCTGGATTTGAGCAAACGTTTGTGATTGAACTCTGTATTGACAAAGGTGATATGGAAGCCTTTGTGGTGAAGTAGTTTGGCAACCATCAGCATGGGATTTATATGGCCTTGAGCAGGGAAAGGAATACAAACTGCGTGAGGCTTATCTGTGAACTCCAAAGAACCCATTATCTCTCTTTCTCTATCACGTAGAAAAGCAGGCAAAAAACTCAAAATAATGAAATATATAAGATATGCAGTTGCAAAACAAACTGGGATGCTTCAATGGAGAGATTCAGCTTCCTTTATACAGCCATTGGTCGAATTGAAAAGTATAATTGAATCGTGAAGTCAAGCAAATCATGCGACCCCAAAGCAATCATTTTGCTATTCCTTAAGAAGCTAAAATTTGCCGTAGAGTCGTGGGCATACGGTCAAATGAAAACCGTCAACTCAACAACGTCGGGCAAACTATGTTTTTATGCGCTTGAAAAACTATACAGCCATCAGGGCGGCAATAATGTAGAATGAAAGAAGAATTTCATTTTGTATTCAGGAATTCTTGGATGCAACAAAAAAGTCGTATTTTCTTTTATCTTGTTACATTAAAAATTGTTAGATGAAAAACAAAGCCATGAGCCTTATGTTTATGTTTATTATTATTTTTATAATCAAAAAGCAGTTTCAAAGCATCATTTCTTCAAATTGTTTGAAAAGACAACTAAAGCGATGGTTCGACTAATCAAAAGAGATAAACTCAGAGGAGTTTGATTAAAAAAAAAGAGTTCAAATTTGTATTTTAAAGATTGAGTTACGTAAAACATAAAGACATATAAAAGAAAATATTTTAAGATTTTTATTGCATGTAAATTAAGTATGTCTAGTATAAAGATAAATGATTAAAAAAAATTTGAGTCAAGGTAGAAATAATTGATAATAGTAACTCAAATCTCTTTTGAAATTGATTAGATAATGTTTGATGGATAAAAAGATTTATAGAATAAAAATTCTAAGAGGATAATGATTCTTAATAAGTAAGTTAATATGTTTATAAATATGTGAAGTCTTTATAAAAATAATAATGAGAAAAAGATATAAGAGAATTTTAGGGTTTTATGAGATAAACAACTCATAAAAGTATTAGATATTTATGTCTTATGGTTATATATGTTTGAATATTTGTGAATGAATTAAAAGAAATTGATAAAGTCTACATAGGTATTATGTATAATTGTATATAGGTATGTATTTATTTGAATTGAAAATACTTCATAAAATTAGAAGAGATTGAAAGGGTCTATAAGTATTAATTATGAATGTTTAATTTGATATTTTGTTTGTAATTTTTTACAATTGGTAGATTTTTTTCATCTGTGAACGTATGTTAATTTGATCAAATCACTTTAAATTATTATTTTTTGTGTAATTAATTAATTATTTGTTTTAATTTTCGTTGACTTGATTGAATTAAAAGCTTTTAACTTAATAAATGATATCAGAGTTATAGTAATCCCAACACACAAATGAAGTCTTAATTTGTATAAAAAAATTAAGATTTATACTAACATGTGAATAAGCCGTAAGATCTCGAAACCAAAACAAGTTTTGTTTGGCAACGTGTTTGGCTACGAAAAAGCCTACAAACCGAACACCTTTCCAATAACGTTGGGACAAAAAGTTCTTTTTTTCCTTTCCAATTTTAATAGTCCAATCATGGAATCAGCTTTGTCGAAAATACAAAACAAGTGTTTCTAAATACATTACAATTTTTTTTAAAATACCTACATAGTAAATATTAATTTTAATATTTAGTAAATAATAAAAACATCCTCAAAATCTTATACACTCTAAAACCACCTTCACAAATCTCAAAAATGAATTTTCAAGAATTATATTGTATTTTTAAAAATGAATTTTTGAAAGTTATATTTTATTTTCAAAAATTTATTTTTGAAAATACATACATTTTTGTTTAAATATATATTTAATACATAAACTCTTAATAACATTTAATTTTTATTTAAATAAAATAAATATATTCAATCTTAAAATAAATAATATTAAAATAAATCAATCTCTTAATAGTATTTCGCATGGGAATATCACATGTGTTAAGATTTCCAAACATCTCTATTGATTTCTCTTAGGTATGGCTTAATTTCGGTAATAGTGACCTCTAATTTAAACCATAATACCCTGATGGTTGAAATAGTAGAGGTTCTTACTGTTGGATTTGTCAATCTACTGATGACGTTGTCAGGGTTAATATTGTTCTATAGGGTATTTTTATTTATTTTATAATAAAATATAATAAAATTATTAAATTAATAAATATATTTATTAATAGTAAACTAAATTTTTATAATATAAATTATGTAAAAAATTTAGATTAGAAAATAAAACTAATTTATTAAATTCATAATAAAAGAAAAATTAAAAGATTGTGTTATATATAAGTATTAACAATTTTTAAAAAAATACATAAATTATTTTTAAACTTGCCATAAAAATATTAGATTGAAAATATAAATAGTTATTATATAAAATAATTCTAATTTAAGAAGAAATAAATTTTTAATTCACATATTAAATTAATAATATTAATTATTATTAATTTTATATATAACTTCATTTCAATAATAAAAGTATCTCATTGTTTTTATAGGAATTAAATCACTTTTTAAGACAGTGATTTGAGTACTTTCGGTGATTCAAAATTGTCATAATGTAAGATCAATTATTTATCAAACATAATAATTTAATTATTATACGTAGATCATTATAAATTTTAAAATGATCATCTTATATCAAATATTACGTAAGAGCTTAGATAATTATTTAAATTTTGTTTAAGAGTTTTTTTTTTTATATATATTAAGCCGTAAAATAAAAAGAAGTTTTGGTAACATTCAGTACACAATAGTTAAGATTAAATGTTAAGTTGCAAGTGGAGATGCTCAAAGCCTTATCTACTAGTTAAGATTCAATATTCAATATTCCAAGTCTTATCCTTCTGTAGAGTATAGACCCAACAAAACTTTTTAGTGGAAAGTTCACACATTTTGAAACAATTAAGATATATATATATATATATATATATATATATTAATGAGGTTTTAATTTAGTAATAAGGAGGAGATTTTGGAATTTTTAAATTTTAAATTCAATTTTTATTATGCATGAATTTGATTATTTAATTATATTTTAGTTTATTAATTGATTATTTAATGATATATTTATATATTATTAATAATAATTTATTATGATTATAACTTTTTTATATTTGTAATTTTATAAAAAAATTTTGTATTTTTTAACTATAACAAAAAAATAATTTATCTTCTTGTTAAAAAAAAATAATTTTCTAATCAGCCTTTATTAATGATATTACTTTTGATTATTGCATCAAAAACTAAATAATTAAAAGGAAGAACTTTTGAACGTGTACACTTCGTCGAATATAAAGTCGTTTTATCCCCTCTCCTGTAGAAGATATTTGTTTTGCAGCTATCACAAGAAAAGAACCAAAAAAAGCGCCTCCCAATGGCCACAATAACGACAATTCGAAGCTTTGATGTGGACATGAAGCGTGCTGCAAATAATTGTTGCAATTTGGCCACTTTACCTTCACCTAGAAAGTACATATCAGCCACGTAATACGTTGAAGTTGACAATACTAGAGCCTTGATGGCAAAATTGAACGACATTATCTAAACTTTACAAGCTTTGATGTTACAAACTTTACAGACCGGCATAACCTTAACTTTTTCATGGTTTTGTAAGTAAATTTAAACTTTTTATGTGAGTGTAGATGTTGTTTTAGGGTTGGAAACCAATGCTCCGCCTGCCTTGCCAAAATTACAATACCTTTTTATTTGCTTTGTTCCAAGACTATATAGCAAGGAGACTGCTTATGGATGTCCATTTAATACTAAATTAAGGGATTCGATCATAAAAACGTACATTACCATGCATTATTATATCAGCTCCCAATTGGGTGTCTTCCCAGGATTATACAAATAAATTATCAAGGTTCCAATTGATTATAAAGAAGTTCGAAGCATTTTTGCTTAATCTTAATCTCTTGGAGACAGTAGAACTCGGTTGATCATTTGGTCCAGATTCCTGTAAGATGACCCTTGGAATTGCGAGTAGCCTCCTCTGCTTTTCTCTTCCACTCTATAGATTTTTTCTTCATTTCTTTACCCTTTTCTGCTTCCATTAACTCTCTAGCAAGGCTCTCAACTTCATCCCTCTTAACATTACTGTCAATTTCCATGCCGATTCCCCATTTAGTGCAAGAAAACCGACAACTTGTTTGTTGCTCAGCAAAAAATGGCCAACATGTCATGGGAACGCCGCTTGATATACTTTCAATTGTAGAATTCCATCCGCTGTTTGTTAAGAATCCTCCAACAGAAGGGTGGCTCAGAACTTGTCCTTGTGAGCACCAAGTTGCCAATAGTCCTCTATCTTTGGTCTCCTCTACGAACTCTGCTGGTACGATTGCCGACTCACCACCCATAAGATCGGGCCTGATGACCCACAAAAAGGCTTGGTTACTATTTGCCAGCCCCCAAGCAAATTCAGTTAACTGATCTGCCGTCATGACAATGATGCTTCCAAAATTCACATAAACAACGGAGTTGGGCCCTTTTGAGTCTAGCCATCGGAGACACTCGGGCGCTTCCTTCCAAAGATTTGATCCTAGTTGTTTCAAATCACTGTCATGGACATGCTGATTCAAAACAAGATGCAGGGGACCCACGGAGTAAATAGGAGGTAGCATTGAAGAGAGTGCATCCAAGACTTCATGCTCCAAGTCATCAATTGTATTCACTATTATTGCTGAGGCCTTCCGAGCTCTTTTGGTTTCAACTGAAAGAAAATCAAGCATAATGAATTTTGGGTCAGTTGTTCTGATAAATTTTGGTAGATCCCTCAATCGGATACCTTCCATTGCTGGTATCCAATGACAGTATCCAAGTATCCGTTCGTCAAATAGCTTTCATCTGCAAATTAAAAATACAATAGTTAACATCAATGACGGTGCTCATGAAATGATAAAAATGGAAAAATGTGAAGCTTAAAGGAATCTTAAGAAAGCTGGTTTTGGATGATTAATTACAATTACCTTTGAGTGGTGTATAACCCTTCTCCATTAGTTGGGGATAATGAACATAACCCAGGAAGCCACATGCGCTTGTGGTCCAAAAAAGAACTTCAGGGACGCCAAGTTCTTTAGCTGCAGCAAGAGTGAAGCTCATGACTCCATCCGAAACAATGCAAGAGACAGGAGGAACGTTGGTTGAGGAGTCGTTGAGCTTGTGAAGCAGTTGATTAAAGTGAGATAAGCAGGTTTTGGAGGTAGACTCGCACAGAGATGGAATGTCTTGGGTGGCATCAGCTTCTGTTGGAGGGAGGCCATCAGGAATGGTTTCGAAACGAAAAGAAGGGAGGCCATCAAGAGCACCTGGACCTCTGGATTTGAGAAAACGTTTGTGATTGAACTATGTGTTGACAAAGGTGATATGGAATCCTCTGTGGTGAAGTAGTTTGGCAAGCACGGGATTAATATGGCCTTGAGCAGGGAAAGGAATACAAACTGCATGAGGCTTGTCTGTGAAACAAACTCAGT